ATTTGTCAATATCTTAGTAGTTTCCTTAATGAACGACATCTTAAAATATATGTGGATAACATGTGTATCAGTAGATTTACAGGGCGAGGTCTAGCCCAAGGAGATCCGTTATCTCCTCTTTTGTTTAATGTAGCTACTCTTAATATATGTAAAACTGTGAAGAACGTTTATATCTCTCAATATGCGGATGATTTTGTTATATATAAGAATTGTGATAGTATCAGTAACGGAGTTATTGATATACAGTTAGCTCTGAACACTCTTAATAGTTTATTTTTCAAGTTAGGACTAGAAATATCTTCATCAAAGAGTAAATTATGCATATTTAGGAATGGACGCGTAAAAGAACACATAAATATAACGGTTAACAAAAGAAGCCTTAAAATCGTTGATAGCATTAAATATTTAGGGTTATGGTTAGATTGATCTCTTCGATGGGCCAAACACATAAACGAAATAAAAGAGAAAGCCCTTAAGTTTGTAAATATTTTAAAAGTTTTAACAGGACCAGGGTGGGGAGTACATCCAGTTCAGTTGCGTCGCTTATATATAGCTATTATACGTAGTAGATTGGATTATGCTAGCTTTTTAATTGATAATAGCCACAAAACACATTTAACAAAACTAGATATAATACAAAATCAGTGTATGCGGATAATTGGTGGGTTTGTCAAAAGTACTCCTATCCATGTAATGGAATCGGAACTGCTTTTACAGCCATTGTTTATTCGAAGAAGATATTTAGCAGGTAAATTTTGGTTAAAGTGTAAGTCTATTGATGAAAATATTGTTACAAATTTATTATGTATCCTTGATGAACGTAAAGAAAGCTTCTATTGGCGACGTAGGAAAACCCCACTGCTAGTTACAACCCATAGATTATTTAAAGAAACTCGTATACTTTCAAGTCCTTACTTAGAAATGTTTTTACTCAATTCGTGGATTAGTAAGTTGGATTTATCTGATTCTATAATCCCTCAAATAGAATTTGTTAACGCACCTAAACATAAGTACAATCCCCTTTACTTACAAACTTTATGTCGAAGACATTTAACTGAAAACTTTACAAATTACTATAAAATATATACCGATGGCTCTAAAGATAAAGAAGGAACGGGTGCTGCATGTTTAGACATTCAAACCAAAGAATACATTAAGCTTTGCTTAGGTAAGGAAATTTCAGTTATGCATGCGGAACTCATTGCAATTGCGGAAGCCTTATCTTATGTCAAGTCACTTAAATATGATAAATTGTTGATATTAACTGATTCTCGCAGTGCCCTTCAACATTTAAAAAGATGTACTTTACTGTGTCGCGGTTTTCCATTGGCTTACGACATATTAAGTAATATTTTAACATTAAAATCGAACCATAAAAGGATAGTCTTACAATGGGTGCCTTCCCATATTGGTTTAGAGGGAAATGAGGCGGTAAGCATTCTTGCTAAAGAGGCGATAAGTGATGGGGATAATTTCGATTGTGTTCCTTATTTCTCCGAACTCTTATCTAAAGTCCGAGAAAACTGTACAGAAAAGTGGTCCGAATACTTTGATGAAAGGTCACTGTCAAAAGGTATTTGGTACAAGACGATACAACCGCATCTTTCCCGCTTCCTTTGGTTTGAAGGATGCAATATGGGAAGGCAAGACATTATTACAGCAATGAGGCTTCGTTCTGGACATATTCCATTAAACAAATTTGCGTTTATGATGAAAAAAGTGAATTCACCAAATTGTGTCAAATGTGGAGTTCTGGAAGATACTATCCATATTATGATGGAATGTGAACGGAACGAAGCATATAGAAAACTATTAGGTTTTGACAAAAATAGTGTTGGATTGTGTAATAGTATTTTAGCTTTTCCATTGTCGGATAAGGCTAGAAAACTATATAAACTAGTATTGTTAGGTATTAAGAACAGATAATTTTTTATTATTGTTTACGTGAATTTATCATTGTTGATTATATGTATTTGATTGTGTACTTATGAGGGTGACATGATCTAATAGATCAAACCCTCTATAATCAATAAAGATTAAAAAAAAAACAAATAGGTACATTATGTTGTCCGGATAAATATACCTTAATGGAGGAAGACATTAAATAATAATTTTAAAAATAATAACTGGTCGTGATTTCAGAATTTTTGAATACGATATCTAAATATTAATATATTTAATATTGATGTCTTTCCTCATAATAGGATGTATTATTTTTGAAATATCAAAAGCAATGAATTATGACAATAAGATTCACATTAGTGGATAAAGGTCATTCCTAAAATTATGGCTAGTTTGACATATCGTTTTTAAATAACAACTTCAATAAAACTTGAACTCCATGGAATGATGATATAACATCCAAAAAATACTGCGTAGTTATACAAAATTTTATGTTTTAGTATTGATTTTTTTTAATTTAAAACTATACATATTAAAAATATAATTGTATAGTTTATGTGGGTGTGCACCGATAGCGCCACTCATTACTTGTTTTTCTCATTTTTTTTAAAGTATTTCTTGAGCTTACAGTGTCTTCTCGGCTAGTATGTTTATGCAGCAAAAGTACAAAAAATTATTTGTAGTCGTAACCGGTAACATCCTCCCCTCCGTTGAAAGATGTAGGCTTTCAACCCTTTAATTGCTCTTTAGTGGTCAATGGGCAGATACGGACTAAAGGACGTCGTACGTATCCCTTCGTAGAGGTAACGTCGGTGCGTAACACGCCATCTGGTCCATAAAAGAGCCTTGATATACGGCTAAGTCTCCAGCACAAAGGTAGGACCTCATGACCTTGTAAAATAACCAAATCTCCGATATTCGAAGTCAAAAAGAAAACAGTCGAAACATTGGTTTTCCAATTTTGGCTTTGTCGTAACTCACCTATGTGTTCGCGCTGCCAGTGGTGGCAAGTGTTGATAAATTTGTTAAGGTCTGGCGTAACGACGCAAATTGTTCGGGTTACGATATCCTAGAGCGGGTGAAGGCAGTGTCACGAGTACCCGACCAATGAGAAAATGACCCGAAATCCATTCATCATCCCCTGATGATTTTCAATTTCAAACAATGTAAATCCTCAGGGGATGATGATAAGGGGACTGAGAGATGAGAGATATTGAATGACTGCGTGATGACAATGAATATTCGAATTGATCGAGCTTGTTGTTTGAAGGAAAATCTAAATGGATAGGACAGAAATAAGCCAACAAATTGGGAGCTTCTTAATTTAGGTGAATTAGAACTGAAAGAACACACAGCCAAGAATGTGCCAAAAAATGTCGGCACCAATGAGAACCTCAATTGGAGCTGGTAGATAGAATTTTGCTTCTACGATATTTATTTAAAAGTCGATCGTCATCGAATAAATTATATTTATAATTATTATATAATTATTCACTTACTGTAATTTTTGATTCGTTTGTGTTGTATTTTTTTCTCAAGAAAATTTTACCTGACGATCGGCCCCTTAGGGAAATTACCGGTTATCGCAATTAACATCAAAAAGTCAAGTCAAGGAAGTCGATAGATACAGGTTGCTCAGGACCGTGCTTTGTGACATTCCTTGGGGGAGGCCTATGTTCAGCAGTGGACTTGTGAAGGGCTGTAATGATGATGAAGATGATTACAGACAGTCCTCTGTGCAGAGGATGAATAACAGAGGTATAAAGGGCGGACCTCGTGCTACTGGTATTATCCGGAATTCACTGCAAACAGGGGTAAACAACTCGGCACGCCTTGGTCACTCCTCGAAGTCGTCGACAACATTAAAGGACTGCTCAACTTTATCAAGGAGATTTCATGGCTCGAATTGCTACAATATTCTTGCCCGCATGTAAAATACGCGCTTAGACAGAGTTGCAGATTACCATTGCCAACTAAAGTGTTGATTGATAATGAATAAGTTTCAAAATGTATTGATTAGCACTAAAATAATTTTCTAAATTTGATTTGATTTTGTGTTGAATGTTTTTTTCTTCTTTCTTTTTTTTTCTTTTCTTTTGTTTAACGTTAACTCCACACTAGGATTTTCTCCTGTATCGTGGGGGCTGTTTACATACATTTCACAAGGACAAATATCCAGACCCGGAACACTTACTTGTAGGGCATACAAATACTTGTTCCGTGCGGGATTCAAACCCGCGGCCCTTAGCGCTGCAACTCATTGCTAAGTCACTGCGCCACGGAGCTGTAATATAAGGCATTCAAATTATATATGATTTTTTTCTACTAGCATCACCAAACTTTTGCATAGCAGCATTTTTTAGATTATTGTACCTGTACCCAACAGTGGAACATATTATGTAGGTTGGCTGTTACTTTGTTCAAATAACTAGATGGGTGACGGAAAATGGATTAAAAGGTGTACCAGATGTCTTGTAAGACATCTGTTTACCTTTTAATCAATTTTCCGTCACTTACAATCAATGTTTTGCCTGCCAAGGAAGCCAGGGAAAGAAGAAAGATTCAAGATCAGTGGTGAACTATTCCTAGCTGATGTAGAATAATAAAAAATTGCAGTAAAACTATAAAACTTGCCTTGTTCAACACTTCACATACAATGCTATTCTCTGTATACCAAGGAAAGATTATAACAAAAACAAACGAGGGAAAAACAAAAGGCGATCTTATATATGAGATTTTTTTTAAATAAAACTAAGAGGTAGATTAACAGGTAGGGTTCACTATAATAAGTAACATACCAGCATATGCACTAAAAAGACAACATCAAGACAACAGGCTTTAGGTAGTACATCAGTGAACATAAATAAAAGGTGGATGAGAGAGGGGTTAGAGACACAAATAGTGTTCTAACCAGTTCCTTGAAAAAATGTAAGGAGCACTTTTAATCGACAGTGGTAAGGCGTTCCAAAGTCTCACTCCAAGTAGAGAGAAAGATAATATAGTTAAAATTGTTACACATTTAATAGTTATCATATTAGGTACCTAAGTAGGTAACAATATTTTTAAATTGAGTTTAAATTTCAAAACTATTGTCATACCAATGTTAACAGAGGGCTAAATATTTGTCTCAAAATGTGGTATAAGGATTCTGCAGCTCCTGTAGTCAAAGTTATCATGTTGACATTATTTATTTTGTCTTGTTTTGATATATCCAATGATGATGTCTTATAAAATATAATTGATTTTTGCACATTACACTGTATCTGAAAAAAAGGTAAAAATTGTATTTAAGGTAAAAATTTGCACATCAATATAATAAAATATGTCATCATATACTTACTTTTGTGCTTAGATGTAAAGTTGAATCATTCACAGAACTTTGAAGCAGAAATGTTTGTGTATCATTTATAAATTCAAATAAAGCCTTTTCAGCCTCATCATTTAACCTTAACTTAGGTATGTCATAAAAGTGTTCTGAAAGGAAGTGTAATAGAATAACTGATTGTGTGGAATTTCATCTTAGTACCCTTAGGGGTTAAGAGTTATGCATTATATGGCATTCTTTGATTGAAATTGTTTCCAGGTGTCCATGGGCTGCAGTAAGCAAACACCATCAGGTGAACACTTTGCTTGTTTGATATTCTAATATTAAAATATTAAAAAAATATCACATATATTTAGAACATTTTTTGAATTAAACTAATTACAAGTACTCCAACATTTTAACATATGTTTAAATTAACAAGAAGTTTATGAAAATTATCTATTTTATTCATTGTGTAATATTTGCATACCTATATAAAAATAATTACATAGGTAAAAAGTTTATATAAAGATTTTGTCAACAATTCAAATTCTTCCAAGTTCAAGTGGTAATCACATACTTTGTCATGCTTAATGCTTACTACTTAGTGACAATGTTGGAGAATGCCAAGTTATTTTTTTAAATTTAAACATAATGTCTATGATGCGACATGTATGATGAGGAGACAGTCGTCTATTGGTTAAGGATACTGGCTGCAAAACTCAAAAGTCACGGGTTCGAACCCACCATTCAACTACTGTTGTGAACCACTCCCAGCACAAGCATTTCAAGCTTAGTTGGAGTGGTTAGTGGTTATTTTTTTAAGAAAAGAAATAAATTTTGCCTACCATTGCTCATAATTTTTTTTATTAGCTGTTAGTCTCGTTTGGTGGTCGCTATGCTAAAAATAGTGATTATATTTATTTTGGGTATGCAACAGTTTTTAACTTTATATGAAGGCCGATTCTAGTCGTCTGCACATAAGACAACTAATTTATTTTATTCGCCTACTTGTTGGAAGATTAATTTATTTTATTCGTCGACTTATTGGACGTCGAAATTATTTTATTCGTCCCCTCATGCACAATCTGTGATAGTTCATCCACAAATAAATGAGAAATGGTAAAACTGCCTATTTTTATACACTGGTGTGAAAACCGAATTGGTAAAATCCAGGCGTAAGGCGTTATGCAATTTAGTTTTTTAGTTTTCAGTCAATCAATTCAGGATGTGTCAGTCAATAAGAAGAATATTATTCAAAGTTTAACTGGTAACTGGAACCTTTAAATTAATTAATACTTACCAGCCGTATTTAATATGAAATCTCGAATAATTGACATCATTAAATACCCCACTTTTTATATTATATTCTCTCTTTTAAATCGTATTATCAACACTAATAATTAAATTTTTATTCATTACGATTAATCGCAAGGAAGTAATCTTTATCGGGTTCGTTTGTTGACATACGTTACGTTGTCATAGAAACCAAAACCAAAGAGTCACAAAGAGTACATAATAGATTAGTGATGGGTCAACTCGAGTTAACTCGAGTTGCGCTTAGCTCGAGTTAACTCGAGTTGGATCTGCCTAACTAGAGTTTGAGTTGCTGTCCATGAGCGGATCAAGTGAGCCATCAAAAGAGTAAGAGCGCGATTCGTTCGTTGTGTGCGCGCTTTGTGTATCAAAGAGAATTTTAAAATTTAATTATTAGAATTAGAATTAAGAAATTTGTTATTTCATCATCATCATTACAGCCCTTCACAAGTCCACTGCTGAGCATAGGCCTGCGCCAAGGAATGCCACAAAGCACGGTCCTGAGCCACATGCATCCATTGACTTCCTGCATGTCTTACCAGGTCTTCACTCCATCTAATGGGGGGTCGCCCTACACTTCGCCCACCGGTACGAAGCCGCCACTCAAGAACCTTTTTTCCCCATCGGTTGTCGGTTCTTCGAGCTATATGGTCAGCCTATTGCCACTTTAGTTTACTAATTTGGATTATGTCGGTTACTCTGGTTCTACTACGAATAACCTCATTTCTAAGTTTATCACGATGAGAAACCCCGAGCATAGCTCTCTACATAGTTCGTTGAGCGACCTTGAGCTTCCTCATATGACGAGCAGTGACGGACCTCGTCTCAGTTCCATAGGTCATCATTGGCACCACGCACTGGTTGTACAGTCCCGTTTTCAAGTTTTGAATATACCTGACGAGAAGATGTGCCGTAATTTCCCAAATGCTGCCCAGCCAAGTTGAATCCGTCGATCGACCTCTAGGACCCAGTGCAGCCCTGTAATGACAACACTACATAAGTGTGCGTAATGTCTACGCGATTTTTAGCAAATGTTTGGTCTGCTCATAGGCTTAGAATATACTGGCGTATAGAGGACCTGACAGCCCGAAAACGCGTGACAAATTTTGATTTGTCATTGTGTGCGTTAGCTAGTGATATACATTCTACTTACAAGGACTATCGAAAAATGATTTATAAGAAAGCGGTAAAAATATCAGAAAAATAGTTTAGTGCACGAAACTGAATAACCTCAAAAAACAACTGAATTTTTAATAATGATATACTGAAAACCTAAAACAATTAAATTATACATATAACAAGTTCCCGAAAATAAGCAGCACCTACCTGCGTTTTGTTGGATTTTAATTCAAAATGTACAAAATCCCAATAATCTCTGAAGGATTGAGTGTACCGAATAAACTTAAGCAATTTTTCCCAAGAATCACATCGGAAAATTGTATTTTCTAGCCTTTAGAAAAAAATATTTACTGCCATGGACAGATTCCCCGGAATTTCTTTTTAACATAATTTTAATCAAATATAAATAGGTAGATACTTAATTAAGTATATACCCATTTATATTTCTTATATTTTATAAAATATATTGCTGGTGAAATAAAATGCTTTAATTTTCATATAAATATTACTTTTAATATGTAATTACAAACATTTAATAATTAAGAATTAAATACATTATGGAATATATAGGAATATGGTTTATTTTAACATCCGATGGTTTACATATGAATGTAAACTTTATAATGTAAGTAAGGAAAGTTGTAGGAATCTGTTAAATAAGATTGTTCTGCTTAATGGCCAATAAGTAACAGTAATTAATTTTTTTAAAGTAATCATCTTGAAATGTTTTTTTGGTGAAATATAAAACGGAGACACAGAGGACATAATACATTTTTTTCTTGGTGTTAGTTGATCACTTCCTTCTTGATCCTGTGATTTCAAAGTTGGAGGGGTTATGTCACGATTAACATACGATTGAGGCTACTCTCTCTTTCATCTGTCCATGAAAAATATAAAGTAATAATAAACTTATTATCATTTTACCTGCATGAGTTTTAAAAACATAATGATCTTTACAGAGATAAACCACATACGAAGGAGATATTAAAGTGCACTGAGGATACATGTGCATTCTCTATTCTCTCAATCTCGGTATATTAAGAAAATGGACTGACCGCAGCAAGTGCAGCTTACACTTTACACTATACACTTTTTCGGTTGATAAATAGATACATAGTTGGATTCATAATGGCTTAAATAGGATAATCTTAAGATTTTTTTTTTCTTAAATGTACTACAATTTTGTAATATATAAAAACCTATCGCTATTTTTATCTAAAGTTTTTGAAGTCTTATTATTATATAATATACACTCTCTTCTCTTTCTTCCTTTTAATGAAATTGTTTTTATTCTTCTTTTTCTTTTATACTTCTCAAGAAAATGTTTGCTGAAAATTGTTAAGTTCTTCTTTGGATTCTCACCAACCAGCCCAATGTGCCTCAACTATATTTTTTTTTAATTATAGAATCTGGAGGGAATATGTTTGACAAAAAGCAAAATAAAAATTTTAAACATTTTTAAAACGCAAACCGAGCATTTATTTTCATTCCTATTCTTGGTGTGTAGGTGTGGAGTTTACCGATTTATTATAAACAGTCAAGATGAATATCGACATTAATTTTGATATAGTTGAGTCCAGGGTAGTGCAACTCTGTATGAAATCCGAAAGACTCTGTAAGAAACTTGAACATAATCATAATTTTATCTATACGTGGATTGGGCGTATAAAATTAAAACGAGAAAAAGATATCGCTGTTTCTTTCTTTCCCGTTGTTTCAGATTGTCATTTTAAAAATTAAATACAAAAATACCATAGAATAATATACTGGCGTATAGACGACCGGACAGCGCGAAAACGTGTGACTAATTTTGAATTGTCATTATGTGCGTTTGCTAGTGATGTACATTTTACTTACAAGGACTATCGAAAAATCATTCTTAATGCCGCCTCTACACTACTCGCGAAATAACTCTGATGAATTGCTCGTCGAAGTCGATCGCAGTCTGAAGAACGTGACTCACACTCGTGCTACTTCGCGAAGAGCTCAGTCGTCTTGAGTCGCCCGCACACTTAACATGAATAAAATTCAAGAGGCACAGCTATAGGCACCTAATTGTGTAAACAATACGACGTCAATGCGTTAACCATAGATAAATAATTATGAAGAAAGCTACATATTTATTATTGATATGTAAAATAATTAATATTTGTTTAGTGAGACGCTTCGTGAAACTTCGGACCACTTCGCGAAGTCCTTTGACTCGGGCGCAAAAACCGACAGCGATCTGAAGTCGCCCGAGGCAAAGCGAGGTTGCACGAAGCGAATCGAAGTACTTCTCTACACTATTCTCCTCGCCCAACTTCAATCTACTTTGCGAGTACTGTAGAGGGGCCATAAGGAAGCGGTAAAAAGATTTAAAAAAATTAGTGCACAAAATTGAATATCTTCAAAAATTAACAAAAATTTTACCATGATAGTTCTAAAATAATTAAAAAATATTCATATAACATGTTCCTGGGAATAAGCTGAACCTACCTGCCTTTTGTTGGATTTTAATTCAAATGTCAAAAATTCCAGGTGACTTTACCGATAAACTTAAAAAAAACTCCCAAAGAATAAAATCTAAAAGTTGTATTTTCGAGCTATGATCTTTTGAAAAAAATATTTACTGCCATGGACAGAATCCCCGGGATTTCTTTTTTAACATATTGTTAAGATAAATACCTATTTAAATTTAATATAATGTTTTGATGGGGAAATAAAAACCGGGGACACGGAGTATATAACGACTGCTTTGTTTTTCATATAAGTATTACTTTTGAAAATTACAAACATTTAATCATGAATAATTAAATACATTATAGAAGTTCATTTTAACATTCGACTTAAATATGTATGCGAACTTAATAATTTAATTAAGGAAACTTGTAGGAATCAGTTAAATAAGATTGCTCTGTTTAAAGGCCAATATGTTTATGAGGCTTCATCATGCTTCTTGTTTATATTATTTCATCTGTCCCTGAAAATTATAAAGTAATAATAAATTTATAACCATTTTAGCTGCATGAATTTTAAAAACATAATAATCTTAACACAGTTAGGATCATAATGTTTTTTATACGTGGTAGTGCCATGCTGCAGCTTTATTAGTAGTATTGTTGTAGCACGAACGGGTTGGCTGAACCGGGAAAGGACCACGCTCTCACAGAATACCAGCGTAAAATAGCAGCTTATTACTGCTGTGTTTCGTATGGTGAGTGTAGAGAACCGGATACGCTTTTTACTGTAAATGAGGCATCCCATCTTAGTCCTCACGGGTGACTACGCATCTGTATTTTGATTCGCAAACGAGGATAAATGTAGATGTCTATGGGCCACAACAACCACTTATCATCAGGTGGACTGTGTACTCGTTTGTCACCCTATCCTATAAAAAAGTGCATCATGTATCTGAGGATAGAGATAGACTCTCTATTCTCTCAATCTCGGTATGTTAAGAAAACTCATTCATGGACTGATCGCGGCAAGTGCAACTTAATCTCGCAGATCTATTAATCCGCGCAGCTATTACTTAACCAAGAGTTTCTCTTCTCTACGACTAACGCTGTAGGCGATGAACCATGCTATTTAAGCCCTCCGCACAATGTCGTCGGCCATCAAGCATGAATAGGGCATCGAGTGTTGTGAGTATCAAATACTATCGAATTTATACTATCGCGTCTCATGCGCGGATTATTTCTTTTATTAACACAAGTACAAGTATCCACTTTAGAAAACAATAATTGCTAAATAATTATAATACTTTAATACTATAAAAATTACAAAACATCCTTATTTCTTATTGCTTATTTCTTGCGTGCCGAATTGTGCCGATCTGTCATTCAAAATCGGTTACAAAGTCATGAGATTTGCTGTTTTTTTCTATCTTGCTATATTGCCTTAAGGAATTTTCTTCTCACTC